ATTATTTGATTTATCAGTTTTCAATTTGTAAATACGTCAAATCGATAACCAAGCCAATAACATATTTCTTATCGATTTATGGTACTTAATGGTTCTTTTTTCGGTTTAAGCAATAGAAAATACTCATATATATTAATATTCACAGATAAGAAAATTTTCATATAAATCATATGATTTTTTCAGTATTTGGCATGAAATAATAATCATAAAAGTAATAATCATTTTTCTTACAAGTTTAGACATTGCACACATTAAAAGGCAAAAGTGCGAAATTAACAACCGTCTTTCAGCAAGTCTAGGTAATTGGCACATTCAAGTTTGAAGTGTGCTTGAATTACAGAATGAAACAATAATTAGGGTTTTAAGTTATACTGAGATTTAAAGTAATAGGGTTCGTAAAATGTTATATAACTAGGGTTTACTAGTGTAGAGATACAATAGTAAATTTAGCATAGTCTTATTAGGTTATGGTTAGATCATTACAAAAATCTTAAAATCGAATATCAAACTAATAACCCAATGAAAATTTTTGTAAAATCGTTTAAAAATTGTTAGCCCAATAATTCAATATCAATAAATCAATAGTGTTTTTCGATTCAATTTATTGGTTAAATCAGTTTTACACACCCTTAATGATTGTGATAGAAGAAAAGTGAGCGAAAGAGTTAATATATATTAAATATACGTAAGTTGCACGTTAGATACATCTTTAATACGAGATACAATCTAATGTACAAATACTAAGTGAATGAGAGAGGGATAGACACATGCGAGAGGACGAAGCCAAGTGAGATAGGAGAGAGGTCAACAAGAGAATTTGTATGAATCACACTGGAATATATGTGCATGTGAATAAGAATATATATATAAGACCACAAACTTCAAATGTATATTTTACTTTTCAAAAATATTGTGTCAAAACAAAACATGAAAGACAAATTAAAACAAATGAAAGATATATATTTGTAAGTTTAATTGAAAACTTGTTCTTTAACTTTTTGAATTGTAAATTTATATATTTGTAAACTATGTAAAAAATATTATGAGTCACAATAATTAACAAATTAAAATATTTTTAAAATATATAAAAATTTTACAGTCAAAGTCAGGCTAGTTTAAATTTCAAAATTTTGAAAAGCGTCACATAATTGAGACCAAGGAGTAATAAATAGCAGTATGTCCTGCATTCTACCACCTCGCATGCATGATCCACTAATATCAAACAGTCAGGATCGTTTGATTGAGTATATTTATAATTACTCAATCGGTCATTCTCAGCATTAGACATTTTTTGACTCTTAATGTAAATTTTAAATTGTAATCTTGAATTATAAATGTAACTAATGTTATTTAGTAGGTGGATATTTATTAAAGATTTATTTTTTAATTATTAGTTGATTTTATATTTTTGAGTCATTAAGGGGGGAGAGAGGTTGGCAATTTCAGGTAAGCATAGATAATGCTCCAGTTTCTTCAACTTTAATTGAATAGTACTTTTGTAGGTTTTAGTGTATTGAAAGGATTGTTTCTTTCCTTAATCATAGATTTCAAATTCAAGTCTGGTGTATGGAGAAAATCTTGTTGGAAGCGCCACCCCTGAATTGGTCCTACATAGCATGATCTAGATTTAGTCGAAACACCAATAAGAACTTCAGACACCGAATTAAAAATAAAAAAAGAATTAAATAGTATTATTTTATGCTTATATTATTATAATAGTATTCCTCTTAGAAGAGAAACATGAATCTCTCTTTCTCTCTCTATATATAGAGAGAGAAAATTTAAGCAAAGATTTGAATAAATAAAGTTTGCACAAAATAATATTGCGGATTCTTTTGTGAATGTTCAATGTGGATCATCATCATCATATTATATATATATATATATATATATATATATATCTTATTCACGCGAACCTATAAAGATGGTCAATGATAGTTAAAAGCAATAATCTATATATTTATTTCAATTTAATGAGATTCAATCATGTGATTAGTTGTGTCTTACTAATATTATCTTATAGACGATATTTGTTGTGTATTATTCTAGTCATCTAAACAGATGTGTTTTGCACACGTATTTCACATTTATATAGTTTAGACATCATATGAACATATAGAGAACAACTACATTTTATTTTTTAGAACTATTTTTGTATACTAATTTTTTATAAGTTATAACACAATAGATGACGTTCTTGTATTGGCTCTCTCATTTGACTTCTCAATTGACTGTATACTTAAATCACAAATGATTATTTGACTTTCCATAGTTAACTGAGAATTTTTTTTTTACAGAAAATTAAAAATAAAAATTAAAGAATATATTCTATCTATGAAATTATATATATAATCACATGTTTATCTTATACCCAATAAAGATATAGTTTATATATTTGTAAACAATTTTAAATCTATTAAACCAAGCATGATTCTTTTAAGGAAAAAAAACAACACCATATTATCACATATATAGGGACAATATGATAATATGAAAAATTATTGGCAAAAGTTATTAAAAAAAGATGAAAGATATAAATAATTAATATAATAACTATGAAAATTCATAATATTATAGCTAAAGAATTAATGTGAATTAGATGAATTTCTAATGAATTTTATACTTACATGAATATATAGGTCATTTAATTAATGTTGCTATTTTTTTAATAGTTATTAGATTTTAATTTAGTGCTAGGACTGAATGAAAATGTTTATATTTCAATATTAATGAATATAAAATTTAATTTTTTGATGATAAATTTTAAATAATTCATATATATTCACACATTTTCACATATGCTCTGATATTTTTTTTAAAAGAAAAAATCGGAATATTTTAAAATAACATATTGGAAGTTAAGAAATCTTTTTAACTTGATAATATATTCCTGACATATATAAATACCTAACCAAATATATAGGATAGATAGACTCGCATTAACGGAAATATAATCTCAGAAAAATTAGGTATTAAATAATAATAGTAAAAAATTAAACTAATACAAACTTCAGATCGCGTTATTTCAAGTCATATGAACTTTTCATAGTAGAAAATACTAAAATATTAAGAAATAGTAAATCAGTAAAACTAAAGGACAACGTTTATATAGTAATAACTATTTTGATGCAAACTTTTTGATAATCTAAATCACATAAGAAGCATTTATGAATAAAGTCATTCTTTTGTTAGGAGCATAAAAAAAACAAATCGCTAATTCTCTAACTCTTGAGAAGTTTAATAAATTTGGAATAAGATATCCAGAAGCATATATCTACATCATAAGAGAAATTATAAACATAAGAAAATCAATTTAGACGACATCATGTTAACTTCATATATTGAAATAGTATATGCTAAGCGAAAAAATAATGATTATATCTCAGAAGTAGTTTTATTAAGTACTCGAGGTTAAGAAATAGTGGTATCTTATCTCCGCTTAACTTCGAACTCACTCAACAATAAACCACACGAAATTTTTTTAAAACGCAAGGAGAGGCGTCGAATATTTAAAAAAATATGGTTGAAAAATAAGAGGGATCCCCTCTATTTATAGTCAACAAACAACTGCTTTTTGTATCTAATCTGAAAAATCTTAACGTTTTTGAGAAGTCACAACCCTTTGATAAAGTCACAATAACTTAGTGAAAAAGTCACAATTCTTTAAAAAAGTCACAACTCATCGAAAAAGTCACAACCTATAATTAAGAATATTATATATATATATATATATATATATATATATATGAGTATTTTTAGTTATTAAGTAAATTACTTACTAAATACTAT